CCTGTGTGAACAATTATTAAAATTTGCAAGTGAGTCCGTTATTTTGACCCAATCATATCACATTTTTATGCATATTGTCCAACTCCTCAAGCTGTATAAACTTGACTTGCTTATTGGATATTTAAAGCATATCAGGTGATGTGTATTTTTGTAATGTGAGAGGGTGGTACCTCCTATCTCAAGGTATGCATAATTATTAGGCAGCTTCTTTTCCTCAGGCAAATTGGGAATTCTCAGTGCTCCTTGAAATTGCTAATATATTGGGGGCGTGATCACCAGAACCATCAAACGTTTTGTTGCAAATATGCAATAGGGTCACAAGAAATGTGTTTGAGTAAAAAAAAGATGCAAAATTAACTGCCATATATTATTGAGAAGAATCAATATGTGAAGTGCTACAAGGAACCCATTATCGTACCAGGTGCTGTCCATATTTCAGAACTGCAATCTACCGATGGAGTGCCGCCGAGAGTACAAGGTTGTTCAGTGCACAGCGACGATGACCATTGGTAAAAGGAAGGCTGGAGGGAAAACCAGATCACCATCTGAACAGGACACATAAGTTTGAAATGGTCAAGACATGGGCCACCTAGAAATTATCTTGGGAAAAACAGATATTCTCACAACGGTTTGATGGACTGGATGAGATGAGAGTGACTCTTGTGACGGATCAGATGCTGTCCTGCCCCTTCCCGTACATCCGAACGACTCCATCTAAGGGAGAAGAACATACAATCATCTTCCGCCCCTAAATTATGCTAACTCCCCAACTTCTACTGGTAACTGTCATTCAGCAGAGACGAGGGCAGGAGCAGAGAGTAGGGGACAGGGTTTGTGATATGGACTGAATGGTTGGGATCCTGTGCTGGGTATCTAAAAGAGAGGGTAGGGGGGTAGTTCCTGCTGCTGGAACTGGACAATATAAGGGGGTTAATCCCTTGTACTGGAACAGCCGCGGGGAGAGGGGGGTGGATTCTGATGCTTGGAACTGATGGGAGGGGTGTTGTGAGGGGGGGATTCTGTGGGCTGGGACTGACTGGGGGCGGATACTTAGTTGGAACTAAGAAAGTGGGCAGGGGGGTACAGTGCTTGAAAACTGACAGAGGGGGGGGTGGGGAAAATTCTGTGGTGGGATTGACATAGTGGGGGGAGATCCGTTGTGCTTTGGACAGAAGGGGCGAAGGGGTGATCCAGTGCTGGGACTGATGGGAGGGATCCTGGTGCTGGAATTTGACAGAGGGGATCCTAGGGGGTGAGCTGATGTGTGCCAGGGCTATTTTTCTGGTGGAGTGTACAGGAACTCAGAGTTACCGGCACCTCTTTTTGGGGGGGCCGATGGATACTGGCGATAGGGCTCACCATGTGCTTTGATTTCTGAAGAGCGATCCCATATTTAGATCGCATTTTCAGAGAGGCATAATAGAGGCAATTGGAGGAAGGTGTTGTATTGCCGTCCAACACAGGCCTGCGTTTAACCCCTTGAAACCCACCACAGCCACATGGTTGCTGTGCGCATTAGCACCTTCACTTTGAATGGGTTCATATAAAAATTATAATTGCCAAAACTATTGGGACGCCTTGCCATTTATAACCGCACATGTTTGTATGATGACTAGTTTACTCAGAAGGTGTGTCTTGAAAGCTTGTCATTACCAAACAATTAGCTTGTACGAAATTAATCAATTACAGTTAGCGTGTGTATATACTGTTCCCCTGTGTCATTCCATTTTTATTACACATAAACTTCATTTCCTGAAAGTGTTTTGAATTTGGTTTTCTAATGTCAGTATTGGATTGCATTGATTTTGTTACCTCGGACATGTTGGTGAACATGTCATATCAATACACCTTTAGAAAATATAGTGACATGTTCAATTACTTTATTTTACCCACTGTAATGTGTGTGAGAGTGTATATATGACACGTCGGGCGCACACACATCAGCATATGTTTGAGCTATGGGGTGCACGACTCATAATGCAATAGGCCTGCACACACATATGCTCTCATTTTCTTTATGCAAGGACAGTTGCCAGGAAGATCTGGCATTAAAAAACATTATTACCCGTGTGCTCACAATCCCTGCCACAGGGAGAGGGTGCGGTTTCTCCATTTTACACCAAATTCCTGTCATTTGTGGTAAAAAAAATGTCTCTAAAACTAATATGCAAGTCACCTGAGCGGTGGAGGTGTTGTAGTATCGTGCATTATAAGTAGCCGAGGCACACAGGGATCATCCTGTAGTAGGAAGGCCTTCATGTATCTCCCTACATTTCCCCCTCTCCTTCAGGAATGCAAGCAGCGTATGATGCTGAGCCATGCACTAACAATGCCTCATGCCAAATTAAGGAAGATACTAGATGATGTTGGTGTCGGAAAAAGAGGAAGCTGTTAGATTTTCGTGAGTATTTAGGACAATGTGAGGACCGTCTTCGATATACACATCTATCGGACAGAAAGTAAGCAAATAGGGAGAATCTCGCCGGCACACAACGAAACCCAAACGCGAGACCAGAAATCCCTTTTTTAGCTTCATCAGATGTTGATAAACTGCTTAAAACTCCAGGCAATTTATTTGGCAAGTACTTATTTATCTAAACTTCTTTCTGTTATCTATTTGCTGTGCTCGTTTGTGCTCTGTATATTTATATATACATTGGTTACATCTTGCTATTCTGTAAATATTTCTACTGCACACTCCTTTTTGACCTTTTAGTAATAAATCTTACTTTCTAAAAAAGTTGTTGAACTGTTTCTATAGCTCCTGAATGTAACTTAACGAGTCCCTGCCATCTGAAAAAGAACGCTTACTATGAGTGTATTAACCCTCTGGTATAACCGGTCTTGTAGGTGATAGCGGAATTACTGACCGATTAAACCAATCATCCTAAGTGTATTGCTGAGTTTCCTCCTCTTTCACTGTATTAAAAGTGACGGGGAGGTGGCAGTTCCAGTGTGACGAGTTAATTGCGTAATTATACCTGATCAGTAACAATATCGCAAAAATTCTGGCTGCCGGTACGTCTCGATCGAGGTTCCCAATTAAGCGGGGGGAACATCGTGTTGCAGGGTGAAGCTGGGTGTGGCATTGTTACACCACGTGGACCGCAGCGGGTTTTAGATTGGCTCGTCCTTCGGATCACGAGTTTGGTGAGATGGGCTGGTGGTTAAGATTGCCGCGCCCGTCACACCCATGCACAAGGAGACAGAGGTGAATTCTGTTACATGGATGTATGGATCACCCTACATTCGTTTCACATGGTTGAAAAGAAAAAGTATCAATCAATTTTGGTGGCAGTTGATCCAAGGGGTTAAATGGTTAGGGATATTTACTGTAGGAGTGCTATTTTTAACCTCATAAAGCCATTGCAATAACTACAACAGCTACTTAACAGAGCGTGTAGTCATGTTACACAGAGCTCATGCATGTGAACCAGAGTTGAGTCTGGCTAAGATTAACCACCACAATGGACATGCATGTTCACCAGAGTTGGTGCTGCCATGTTACCCCACGGTTGCGTGGCAGCGATGTGAACCAGAGTGTGCCTGCCTATGTTACCCCACGGTGCAGCCATTTTTTTGTAACCAGATGTGTGCTGCCCATGTTACCCCACGGTGCAGCGTTTCAGTTGCGTGTGACCAGAGTGTGCTGCCTTGTTACCCACGGTGCATGCATGTGACCAGAGTGTGATGTCATGTTACCCCCCACCGTGCATACATGTGACCAGAGTGTTCTGCCATGTTAACCCACCGTGCGTCATGTGACACAGAGTGTGCTTGCCATGTTACTCCCCCCACGGTGCGCGCATGTGACCAGAGTGTGAATGCCATGTGTTACCCCACGTGCATCATGTGACCAGAGTGTGCTGCCATGTTACCCCAACCAGGCGTCATGTGACCAGAGATGTGCTGCCTATGTTACCCCACAGTGCAGCATGTGACCAGAGTGCTGCTGCCATGTTACCCCACCATGACTGCGTCATTAGTGACCAGAGTGTGCTGCCATGTTACCCCACAGGTGTCAGCATGTGACCAGAGTGTGCTGCCATGTTAACACAGAGTTCTAGAGTGTGACCAGAGTGTGCTGCCATGTTACTCCCACAGAGTGCTGCATGTGACGCAGAGTGTGCTGCCATGTTACACAGAGCTCTAGATGTGACCAGAGGTGTGCTGCCAATGTTACACAGAGTTCTAGATGTGACCAGAGTGTGTGCTGCCATGTTACCCCACAGTTGCAGCATGTGACCAGAGTGTGCTGCCATGATACACAGAGTTTTCTAGATGATGACCAGAGCAGGGGTGCGACTGGACCATTTGGAAACTCAGATCACTGCCCGAGGGCCCGGGGGTCAGTAGTGGTGGGCCCCATGAGGATGCCCCAGCTACCTTTTTCATAGGCTTTTTTGAGTTTGGGCAAGAACACAGGGGCCCCATGATACCCAGTATTGCCCGGGGGGCCCCATGAGTTGTCAGTCCGCCCCGGACCAGAGTTGTGCTGCTAAGTTACCCCACAATGCAGCATGTGACCAGAGTGTGCGGCCAGTGTTACCCCACTGTTGCCAGCGTGTGACCAGAGTGTGCTGCCATGTTACCCCACCGTGCAGCATGTGTTGTGACCAGAGTGTGCTGCCATGTTACCCCACGGTGACATGCGTGTGACCAGAGTGTGCTGCCATGTTACAGTCCACCATGTGCATCATGTGACCCAGAGTGTGCCTCTTCCATTTTACCCCACAGTGCAGCATGTGACCAAGAGTGTGCTGCCAATTGTTACACAGAGTTCTAGATGTGACTCAGATAGTGTGCTGCCATGTATTACCCCACAGTGCAGCATGTGACCAGAGTGTGCTGCCATGTTAATCAGAGTGTTCTAGATGTGACCAGAGCAGGGGGTGGACCTGACCATTTGGAAACTCAGGGCACTGCCCGAGGGGCCCTGGGGTCAGTAGGTGGGGGGTGGGGGGGGTCGGCCCCATGAGAATGCCCCTGCTACCGTTTTCATAGGCTTTTTTCGAGTTTGGGCAAGGACATAACAGGGGCCCCATGATCCCCTATTGCCCGGGGGCCCCATGGTTGTCAGTCCGCCCCTGGTCCCAGAGTGTGCTGCCATGTTACCCCACAGTGCAGCATGTGACCAGAGTGTGCTGCCATTTACCCCACAGGTGCAGCATGTGACCAGAGTGTGCTGCCATGTTTACCCCACAGTGCAGCATAATACCAGAGTGTGCTGCCATGTAACCTACGCCCACAGTGCAGCAATGTGACACAGAGTTTGCTGCCATGCTTACCCCACCAGTGCAGCATTAATACCAGAGTGTGCTGCCATGTTTAACCCCATGGCCTGCAGCATGTGACCATAGTGTGCTGCCATGTTACACAGAGTTCTAGCTGTGACACGAGTGTGCTGTTACCTGGTTACCACAGTGCACCTCAAAGTTACTGTAGAGGGGTTGGCCACTTACTCTGTTAAGATGCTGGCACAGACTCCTTTAACTCCTTTTCCTCTCACCTCCTAGGGTTCCTGGAAACACTCAGGGAAGATAAGTTTCTCTGCCTTTCCTCCTCAGCTGTTTTTAGAGAGGCCGTGAGTGCTTGGTTCACAATTATGAGGATTGTATGCGGTTTTTTTGAACCCGCATCCCAATTCGCATGACATGTGAAATACCATTGCAATCCTTTGATGCCTGTTCACATTATGGTCCGAGTTGGCACGATTGGTAGATTCAGTGTGGTTTTTAAAGTCATGTCCGATTTTCTGAGCATTGCGGTCCCGTGATTCAGGTGCGGATTGCAGGCTACTGCATCTTTCATAGGAACATTCCTAAACCGCATGATGTGTGTGAACAAGATACAGATCCTGAGCTAATCCTGTCCTGAACCTGATATGAACCTGTGAGCAGCCTGCTGTATCAATTACACTGTTCAACAAAATTTTTATTTTTTTGCCAGTTTTTAGTTTTTGGAAACCAAAAGGATCCATTTCTTAATGAATTTCACATTCTGAGTTCAAATATAACAATGAAATTTGTCAATTGGCTCTAGTTGTTTCTGCTAAACGGAAAAGTTTCACTACTATAGGTGTAATGACTACATAATGCACAATAATTATATAGATAGATGTCTTTTCCACAAATATAAAGCAAGTAAATATTGACTACATAACAAAGCCTAAATGGCATAATATATTGCATAGGGATTACCAAGAAAAATTTTTAGCCATAAGCTAAGTTGAATCATTTTAATACTTAGGATTTCTCATTAGTTTTGTCTTCTGCAGTTTGTGTCGGTTTTGCTTCTCTTGGCTTTTCTCTGTATTCAAGGAAAGGGTCTATCTCTTACAACTGTCCAGCAATAGTCAGCAAGAATTGATGGGCTCCATTTACCTTTGATATCTTCTTTCATAGCTGCAATGTCTTGATGGAAGCGCTCTCCGTGTTCATCACTCACTGCTCACAGTTTGGTCGGGAAAAATCCAGATGCGAATGTAGAAAATGAATTTTTAGAGAACATGTGGCAACCCAGATTTCTGTAAGGTCTGGATGAGTTTTTCTACCCACTTTCTTGTAGTCTGGTGTTTTAATTGTTTCCAAGAAAATTTGATAACACTGATACAAATGCTGTCCAGTGCAGCCTTTTCCTTCTCCACGCAACAGAGAAAGAAACTCATCATCATGAATAAGTTTACGAAAAAATATCTGTTGCCCCAACAAAAGACTCTTCATTTATTTTTGCAGCACTAAGTGCATGGCAATTTTTGCTAATCAGGTACTTGAATAACCTGCTTTATAAAATTCTTGTCCATGCCTTAACAAAATTTTTCATTAATCCCAACTTGATGTGTAATGGAGGTAATTAGATCTTATTGCTGTCTATCAAGTGCTGGATAGTTAACAGTTTTTTTCTCCACGGCTGCAATGGGACTGGCCGTAATGGCCAGTCTCTTTTGGCATAGTGCATGTCTCTCGCACGACTGTCCCGCCACTCACAGAGGAAGCAGCAGTTACTTAGTATATCCACCTTGTAGGCCAAGTAAGGATAGCAATCACCTTCAGGTCACCACAAATCGACCATTGATGTTCATCATAGTTGATGCACCTTAAAAGCTCTTTCAAGTTTTCATACGTTTCTTTCATTGAGAGACTGCGTAAGCAACTGGAACTGACGGCAGCTGATTGCCATTATGATGGAGCAAAACAGCTTTAAGACACGCCTTTGAAGCACATCAATGTAAACCAATGCCTCCACTCATCGGGATTCATAGCATACGCCGAATGGCTGAGATTTAAACCATGAACATTGTTACATACAGCAGTATCACCTTCCTGGACGAAGAATGGGATCAGATCTTTCTGACGATGACGGTAGAAAGACGTACGAACATCACATGCTAGGAGATTCCACTGTTGTAGTCTTGACCCAAAAGCTCTGCCTTGTTCTTCGAAGATCCAGGTCTCTGATAAGATCGCTCAATTCCACTTGTGTAATGAGGTGTGGTTCAGTGGGTGTGGATGGAAGAAAGTCTGGGTCATGGTGAGGTTGACGTTGATGACTACACGCTTCAGGTTCATCCTCACTTGACTCAACCACGAAGGATTCTGGTGCTCTTTAGGAATTGGTAGCCCCTCTCCATGAGGAACTGGACGTGAATTGCCGATGGAATATTTGGATAGTGCACAGATAACTTTTTCTTCTTATTTAGCATCTTTTGTTGGAGGCACATACAAAAGTAACAATTACTAACATGATCTGTTGGCTCTCTCCAAATCATTGGCACAGCGAAAGGCAATAGATGCCTTTTTTTTCCATTCAACCATTGCTCCAGTGCCGTCCCACAAGAATTGCAGCATATATGTGGTGCCCAGCTCTTTGTCCTGGTCTCCTATTCTTGCCGCCAAAATACAAGTTGCGTAGGCTTTCTTAATCATTCCTGTTGTTAGGAATGGACCTGGCCAGCAATGGTGGACTCACCTGCCTTTTGAATCTGCAGTACCAGGGCTGGCCAGTGCGGGTGCTCCCAGCAATCAGAGACTCAACCTTTCAGCCAGCTAACACCTGGAACTGATGATACTGGTGTATTTAAGGGATGGCCAGACTTGCAGGACTCTGCCTTGGTGTTAGTGTTTGTCCTGGCCCTGTATCCTGTTTCTGTCCCTGCATCCTGGTTCTGTCCTGCATCCTGTTTCTGAACCACTGCTGACTTCTCCTGCTCTGATCCCGGCTCGCTCCTGACCATCCCTCTGTCTGACGCCTCAGTACCACGCTGCTTGCTACCTGTTCTGATCCCTGGCTTGTGACCCTGACAATCTCTCGCTTGCTCCCCCTGTACCTTACCTGCCCTATTGATATTGACCCGGCCTGCCTGACGACGCTTGCTTGTATGTACTGTTATCTGTGGGTGGTTTGGTTTGTTTGCACTGTATTATGTTTTGATTAGTAAAGCACTGCTGCGTTTATGTTTTTGTATTGTTAGTGTTAATAAATTATATTGTTTTATAACATATCTGAGGTCTGCGTTTCCCTGCGTCAGTCACACATCTCTGGTCACACCTCGGGAGCCCTAGACATTACACCAAGGCCAATCCTGACCAGAAAGTGGCTGCACAGGGAAGCCATCTTGGCTTGTGATGGGAAGGGATGGATCTGGATGAGGGTTGAGTATTTATCTCTGCTAGTGCTTGATGACAGAGAGTATGCTTATCAGGACTCTGAAGCGGAGTATACCCGGGATGAACTGCTAGAATGATATACGGCTCGCTCATGTTCTAGTAGATCAGGGCACAGATTTCTCTATTCTCTATGGTGCAGCCATTGATTCAGGTTTGTGTTGACGTTTGGTTTCATCTGGTTCCCCCGAATGCAGGGATGAATTTTTGCCACCATTTAGTGGCCGACCAGGTTGAGTCCCTGGTTCGTGGTTATTTAGAGGATGATGTGAGGTTACTTTCTGGAGCGTTATTCCACATGTTCACCACAGACACTAAGCAGATTGTATAAACGCAGTGCAGTCATTGGCCAGAACAGGCTTTGTGTTAACCTCAGCTTTGATTCAACCCCTACTGCAGACATGGGACAGACACTTGGGTTGCACCCAGCCTCAGTCTGCTTACAAAAACCCAGTCCTGCTTCTAACTCTACTCCTGTATTCCAACAGCTCCTCCAGTTACAGCCCAGTATACTTGGCTATCTACCGCATGTCAGTACCCTGTTCCCACTCGCTGCACCTATTCCTGCCTTAACCCTCAGTAAAAAAGCCCTCTGTAGCAACTGCTCCCTCTCCTGTTCTATCCTCGAGTGTTTTTCCCTCTGTCTCCAGCTGCTCCATTCGTTTGCAGACCTGCGATTTACTTGCAGTGCTCCAGTAGTTTAAAACCAGAAAAAAGCGAAAATTCTTTCAACCAATACATCCTGCCAGTATCCAAACCGGTGAACCTGCCTTCCGTGACTCAGCCTGAAGCCTCTACTACCCAGCCGGATGCTCTCTTCAGCCGGATGCCTCTCCTCAGTCCTAGATGCCTCTTCCTCAGCCTGATGCCTCTCCTCCAGCCTGATGCCTCTCCTCAGCCTGATGCCTCTCCTCAAGCCTGAAGCCTCTCCTCACAGCCTTGAAGCCTCTCCTCAGCCCTGAAGGCCTCTCCTCAGCCTGAAGCCTCTCCTCAGCCTGATGCACACTCACTATCACCGGATGCCTCTCTTCAGCCGGATGCCTCTCCTCAGCCTGATGCCTCTCCTCATGCCTGATGCCTCTCCTCAGCCTGATGCCTCTCCTCAGCCTGATGCCTCTCCCTCAGCCTGAATGCCTCTCCTCAGCCTGAAGCCTCTCCTCAGCCTGATGCCTCTCCTCAGCGCCTGATGCCTGCATTCTCATGCCTGTATGCCGCTACTCAGCATGATGAACTGATCCAGCCCGACGATCCTATTAGGCCAGTTTAACTCGATGCCCGCTGTTTGATCCAGATGATTCCGGATACCTGATCCAGTGCCCGCTGTCGTGCCAATTGACTCAGAGCCCGCTGTCATACCGTGGTGACCCGGGTGCCCACTCGCCTTGCCAGATGACGCGCGTGCCCGCTGGCAAGCCAAATGACCTGAT